ACACACACACACACACACACACAGAGACACACACACACACAGACACACACACACACACACACACAGACACACACACACACAGAGACACACACACAGACACACACACTCTTTCACATTGTGGCATGTGTTTGTGTTGTTGTTGTCAGGGTGACATCAGAGCACTTCCTGTTTACGTGTCACTGAGTCTATTTTCTGTTCAAGTGATAAAACTGATGAGAAACTGGAAACTTGTTTTTTTTACACTGAATGAGAATATTTTCTGAGGCCGGTTGCTGAACCTTCAGGCGTCTTGTTTCTGTGTCAGATGCAGATGTTGCCGACGTGATTTAAACACAGATTCGAGCGGACGTGTTCGGTGTGGAGAAAGTTTGAGCAGAACTGAACTTTTAAGTCTGTGAAGTTGAGCAAAGTTTGTCCAGCTAACTTAGTCTGTAATTAAAGGAGGATTTGTAAGTTTTGCTATCGCTACATAGCTAACGTTAGCATTAGCAGTTGTAGAACAAACTTTGTGCGTTCAGCATCAAACTCCTTTACTCACCAACATCTGTCTGCAGAGGTGGAAAACAACCCTCGTGTTTAGCTTCTATTTCTATCACTTCTTTTCTTCTGCTGATGTTAACATGCTAACTAGCTAGCTCCGGCCGTCTCCTCACTTTCCGATACCGAGTCACTGTAGCCTGCAGTCTGTCTTGAAGACGTAGCTGCTCAGAGGACGTGTTATAACCTCCTGTATTATAAAGACAAAGATGGCCGAAGCTCTCGTCACAACAGAGACGGCGTAGTCACTCACAATCACTTCCTGTATCTGCGTCACGTGGTTTCTCCTCCTCCCCGCCCCCTTTAGGAGACAGGCAGCAGGTCTGAGTCTGTTCACTCCAACAGGAGACGTGGACCTGATCACATGATGATTCTTTCTCCTCACAGACACTCTGACCTGTCTCTGTCTCAGACACAGACCTCTTCCCTGCGTTGGTTCTGGTCTCACTGCAGTAGAGCTTAATAATTCTATTATTGTTCTTATTGTTGAACTGTTTTGGAGGGAAAACAGAGACTGATAAGACAATTACAACAGGAAGTGAGGAAACACTGGAAAGTAAAGACGATAAAAGAAAGATAAAATAATAAAATGCTAAAACAGAGGAGATGAATCAAAGTGAGTAAAACCAGAGATAAAAGTAGAAATAAGATAAAAGAATAATCATAGAATGGAATGACATACCAGTAAAACAGCTTGAATTATAGAAATAAATAGATAAAAATAAATAGAATTCAACCAAAGACTAAAAAGGTGTTTTGAGTTTGTAAAGGTTTTGATCTTCATCAGGTTTCAGTCTGAGAGACAGTCAGGGAGCATTACACAGACGAGCTCAGTGGTGTGTGTGTGTGTGTGTGTGTGTGTGTGTGTGTGTGTGTGTGTGTGTGTGTGTGTGTGTGTGTGTGTGAACCAGCTCCTTCACTTCTGCTGTTGATGTTTGATGTCTGTGTTTTATGGCGCTACAGATGAAACGTTGATGATTATAAGACAAACATTTTCCCGTCATGCCGCCGCTCGCTGATTAAAGGTCAGCAGGTGGTTCGTGCTGGTGTGACCCGGCTCTCTGATGAGAAGCTGAGTGTGGGCGTAAATGGGGCGGCTGTTCATGAACATGACTAAGTCCTGGACAGTGGTGGAGTGAGCACAGCGGGTTCAGCTAACCTCTGTTAGCTTAACCGGTCACGTCCGCCGCTCTGCGCCACATTCAGAGGTAGAATCCTGCAGATGATGGGACGTTTGATGTCTGACTCAGTCAAAGCTGCTGCTTCTAACACTGTGTGTGTGTGTGTGTGTGTGTGTGTGTGTATGTGTATGTGTTTCCACATGTCCATATGTGAACGCTAATGTGCGTAAATGCTCGTGGTGTCGATCGCCTGCATCATCTGCTGTGTTTCCGGAGGAGGGAAATTGACTGTCGAGCTGACATAAGGCAGCTGAGAGGTGTGTGTGTGTGTGTGTGTGTGTGTGTGTCTTTGACAGAGAAAGTGAGAAGTGTGTGTAGGAGGGGGGAAACCAGGGATACGCTTACACATTAATCTGTTAGCACGGAGGTAGGGGGCTGATAGCACTCATTTATCTTGCATAGGGTGTGTGTGTGTGTGTGTGTGTGTGTGTGTGTGTGTGTTATGTGATTATCAGTTAACTCAGTTCCCATGTAGCTGTAGATCTCAGCAGCTCTTGGCAGGGAGAGTGATAGCAGCCCTCCCTGTGTCGGGGTGGAGAGAAAAGAAGAAGTGAGGCTCAGTATTCTTAGAAACACCTTCTCCTCCTCTGCTGACTCACTGAGGTGCTTCCTACTCTCTGGCTCTGATCCCGGGGAGCGTTCGCTGGAAACTCAAGGTGCTGTGACAGGAATTAGTAGAAGGAGCCCAAGAAGTGAGAGAGCGGAGAAGTGATAAGACTCTGTAGAGAACATGACGGTGCGGTGGTCGAAAAACTCCTCCGACTGATAGTTGATGTGGATAAATACAGCTGTGATGTGATGTAATGTTTTCAGTACAGATGCCAAAACAATGCTGTTTTTTGAGTATAAACACGTGTTTGTGTGAAAACCACAGACTGTAAATAAAGATGGCCGTCACCCACAGCTGCTCCACTGTCAACATCTTGGCAGTGTCTGACTCCGCCCCTAACTCCCAGCCAATCCAAATATGGTCAAAGAGGAGGGGCGTATGTGGAGCTGAGACTTAGTTTGGTTCATACGCTCACCCGCCTGTCACAGTTTTTTTACGTCTTCCCATCTGCTTATGCATTAATCTACAACAGCATATGAACGTATCACGTCACAATTGACCACATTTCCTTGACAAACCCCTGAAATAACAAGGTAATGCAAAATATCATTATTATGATTATTACCATGAGTGCAGCAGATAACTGCAATAATCTTTCAAATGTGGATACAAGCACCAGAATTGATGTGTTTTTCCCTCTGGGGCCATTAATTTGAAAAATCCTGTTAGCCGCTTGAAATTTCAAGATGGCCGCCATTTCTGGTACAGGAAACACATATTTCACAAATTCATGTCAAATTCACTTTCTCTTACATTCAGTAAGAGTCGACAGTCGACTTGCTTACTTGTCTTAACATTAGCTCTCCAGGCTAACTTGCTAGTGCTAGGCTAGTTAGGGAGCTTTTTTGTGAGTAATATGCGCTGAAATATACTTTCATTTCTCTTTTTACAGTGTACTAAATTTCATGATTTAACACCTGGATTATTCATATGAGAAAATAGTGGATGAACTTATTGCAAAAAATAACATTTCCTTGCCAGAAATGGCGGCCATCTTGAATTGTAGCATCTGTATCCACATGATTTCCCTGAAACATGCAGCTACCTGCTGAACGATTAGTCCTGAAGTCTGAAATCAGGTCTGTGTTTGACACAAGCTCAAAACATTGTCACGTTTTATTCTACAACATAAAACTCATCAGTAAATACTCCAGTCG